TTTTTTTTTTTTTTTTGGTCCGCTTCGTCCAGGGCGCCACACAATCCCGACTTTTCCACCTTGGCAAGGGAGAACAGAGCAACGGTAACGAGATGTTTTCAAGGATTGTCCCGACAATCGACAAGCGACGGCAGTAACAGTGAGTTCGAAATGTGGCGCAGGGTGGGAATATCGTGAGCGGTCTGGTACGAGATAGTCGGAGACGGTGATGGGTGAGACTGCGCTGCGAGTCGAGGGAAACACGGTATACGAGGATTGGTCGAGGTAACGTATAATGGAACAGATGAGGCTTGGGCGACCAGTCGACAAAGTGTAACGATGCAATGCAGAAGTGATAGAAACAGGTTAGGTAGGGACAGCCTGCCCGTATTTGTTGGAGTGGGTGGATGGATGGTGGAATCCGCAGCAGAAGATACCTGACCTAGCGCAGTGTAGAATTGGATGCTAGCTTCTGGCCTTGTCGTATCGAAGCTATCCCGGTCTGGTAGGTAGCGTAGATGGAGCGCCGTTGGGAATTCGGTGTAATTTTGAATTTAACGGCCAAGCCGGTTGCGAAAAAAAAGACTTGCGGCGTTGGCAGGCAAAACAAAACGAGCGTGATGTTTATGTACCTAGTGCAATGATGCAGTACGATATGCGATGTGATGCGATGCGATGCGACGGCGGGAGCAACAGCGGACAGCAGTTCGATCGGGAATTCGATAATCTGAAGTGAGATGCGATAGCAGTGGCAGAAGGTACACTAACAAATTAGCCGAGCGTGTTTGCTTATCTGTGTCCGCCGAGGTTCTCGTATTGCATCGCTCGCTCCAAATCCGTGGAGAAGTTGAAGTTGAAGAGCAAGAACTAAAAAGGTGCAAGCAGTCAACGAACGGCAGCCAAGACCGAAGCAGAGGCCATGTGCTCTCAGGGGAACTCCATGGTCAATTGCTCCCGCTCCATTTCTTGAAGAGAATTAGGGGATCCCAGCCAAGATGCTACTATGCTATACTGGGTTTGAAGGCATTCTGCGAGAATTTCAGGGGATGCAATGCTTAGGTTTCCTTTTCCATCCATCCATGACATCCATCCAATCTCATCTCTGTGCAACAAAGATCCATGCAGGTACAGGTACAGGTACAAGGTACAAAAAGTCCCTGTTTGCTTGTCTCAAGAAGATGACAAGCTGCAGTCAGCCTCTTAGTCTGTTGCATGCATCTTGAGTCACCTCTATCTGAGAAGAGATAGCTGTACAGTATTTTTTGACACCTTGATCGAGGAATTGGATGTAATTAATGGATGCATTGGCTCTAGACGAAACACTCAATGATAAATTTGGTGGCCTTTAGCCTCAACTTAGTTCCTTAACTTGCCTAAATTGAATGCTTGGACCCCTATCTCCCCCCATAGCACGTTGTAAAGTGACGAAGAAAAAAGCGTGAAATTACGTCACAGTCTATTCCCCAAAAATATACCGAGACAATCAACCTGCAACATGGGGGAGAACGTTTCCATTGATATGAGCCGTACCTCGGGACTTGTCTCGTAGGGCAAAGATGTCTTGGCCATTTGCGCTTGAGCCTCTACATAGCATGACTGCATATTTCACATACTAGTAATCATGGAGTTTTTAGGATAAAAGAAAAACTGATGCTCAGGCTTAACCCAACCCCACATTGCTCATGCAAATTGGCAGGGCTTTCAGTGGCCGTTGATTTTTAGGTTTTGGATTCAGGGGTGCAGCCTGTCACCGGAGCCAAGAGCAGAATGGCCTTATCTATCAGGTACCTTATGTATAGAAGGATATCGATCGAGTCGAGAAGGGCCAGGCTTCCTGGACTGGCTGACCAGAGATCAGAACTCATTGATGGTAGGTATTAGCAAATGTTTCTTATTCGTGTGCACACTCCAACAGAGCGAGTGGTGGCATCGAACCCAAGTCAAGTCCATATTCTAGAAGCCTACTAAGGTACCTATCAACTGGTAGATGTCCATACGATTGAGTTACTGGTATGTACACCTTATAGCACGCGATGGGCGAGTTGGTCTCTATAGGTACATTGGTATTTTGGCCTCATCTTCATTAACTCTAACAATTTCGCAGCGGTCCAAGTTGACTACTTGATAGGTTGCCTCTACAGAGTACCGACGTTAACAGAAATCCCATGATCTGCTGTATCAAACAAATAGCTAAACGTGGGTGTTTCGTAACTTACAAGCGTGGCGTGTATGGCAGATGCTCCTCTAGGTTATGCTGTGACAACTTGAGTGGTGCATGATGTGTGAGGTGTAAGAATCAAGACATATCACACTATGAACAGGCATTTGCGCAATTTACTTAGAGCTTATTTAATGAGGAATCGATTTAACCTTTGGCATGATTTCCATGAATTTCTTACTTGTATTTGCGATAGAGATTTCGCCCTGTAGAATTAGGAAGGAACGGCTACACGTGACTAAAACCTCTACCTACCACTTCCTTCCAATCTCCAACCTCAAACCAGCATTATAACTCTGGCTCGCATCGAAGTCGTGCTTAAAACAAAGGAAAACATTTCCTGTGAATGCACGTACTAAGATCCGGCGGCCTCTCGCGAAACTCATCCGAGTGCCGAGAAACCGGATGGTTAGCTACCGACCTGAACTGCAATAAAAATTCCCGGGTCGCCTTTATGGTCCTCTGGCCTCGATATGGCCAGACCATCCCAAGGGCCTGCTCGATGCGGCAAACCAGCGAAGAACTGTTATGGTGTCCGTGGTCGTATAAAGAGGCGAATAATGTCTATGGGTGCTAAACAATAAACAGATGATTGACTCCAAGGCCTGAGCCAATAGATCACAAGTTCGCAGAAAACACCATTTAGAACACTTATTTGACAGAAGTGCACCAATTTCCATCTCGCGAATTGCTGCCTGTTTAGCCACGTGAAATCATCAAACGTGGCTTGGTTTCATCAAACCTCTCATCTCAATTAGCCAACGGACACTTCACGCCAGGCCAAGTGGTCGTATTTCTAGAAAGAGAATCGATACTCTTGTTCAGAAAGTGTGTTCATTGACGAACTAGCTCGTGGCGGATAGCGGAACACTCTCACCCGGATAGCCTCTTGATCGCGGCATGACCCAATCGATTTCATTCCCGCGTCTCCCCAAGAGACAACAGATCCTGCTCTCGGTTTAGAGCAATCTCCCTAAACCTTGTTGATTTGGTTCTGGTTTGACGTTGCAGTTGCAGGTTCCAGACGCGGTCGCCAATCCAACGGCCTACGAATCACACACACTTTGAGCGTCGGCGCCTAGAACCAACCAATTACAGCCTCGGACCCTGGGTTGAGGGCGGCTATTCCACACTTTAGGATGCGCCAAGTCATTTGACTGACAGCCTATGAGCTATTGTTCAACGTTTGGACCTCGAATGCTTTATTTAGCCATACAGCGAATAGATGCGGGCTCATGGCTGTAAAGCCAATCAAGAGGCTTTACGCCCTTGATTCTGCTCAATCCAGCTGGGATTTACCTACGGATACAGATGCTTGCCTTCAATGAGATCCACTACCAACAACAATATGCAGTATGCTTGTGGTGGTACGGTATTATCGGCCGCATTCTCGCTATTGACTCAATTGTCTATTGTTCCTAGTTTAATTCTTTCTCTCTCCTACAATTCATTTCTTTTCACCTTTCATTCTTCCTATCTCCTTGGACTTTGTTGACATGGGCAGTGAATAAGCTATTGTCGCATCCTATTGTTCGGATTTCTTTCCTTTGTCAAACAACAATCATTAAACTGACATCCATGCTTGTTTTTCTGTTCGTTCCTTAGATTATTCCCAAGAAGAGCATCTCTTTCAGCCATCATAACTTGCATCATCCAAACAAACCATTTTCTTCATCTATCAACAAACGACCAAATACATCACCACACACAGCTCAGCTCTATATGCTTGATTATTAGTTGCTGTTACACTTGTTTTCTTTCTTTCACTTTGATTCATCTATCACTTCGATCTAATACATCAGAACCTACACAATGACCAACACTACTCAACCACAAGAATCGGTGCACCCACCACCATACTCGGAAACTCAACCTCAACGTCGAGATGAGTGGGAGGACTGGGAAGACGATGAGCCCATCACACCCATCGACGCCGGCGAGCAAGTCTTTCCTGCTCCGCTAAATGTCCAAGGTCGGCACTCGAAGTCCGCGGCACGACGATCATCGAGAACATCTGCTACGAGGATCAACCGGGTCAAGTCACGACAAAGACAAAAGGCTCAGAACGCAAAGGCTGGGATCAAGCTCATAACCGACATGTCCTCATTCCGGCGCCAAAACTACATGCCAACACCGGTAGAACGTACTGGAAAGTTCGTTGATGCCGCTGCTCTGAAGGCGTTGGAAGGAGAACCGACTTCGGCCTCAGTAGGAAATTGGAACTGGTTCAAGAAGAGTAAAGACCAGAGCCCGGCCACTGCATCACCCCAGCCCTCGGCTCGGCCAGCACAATCAGCTCGTACCCCGGACAACAAACTGTCGCCAGATGATAGGCCCATTGTCATTGGCCTTGCTTTCTCATCTGAAGAGGCGAGCATTGCTTCCAGATACGATGCCAGCCCAACACCCATTGAACCCCCATCGCAACCACATTTTCCTCGGAACCCTGCGAACGCATCGGCTTCACCTATAGCCCCAGCCCAACAGAAGTCTGTATGGTCACCGGATACCCCAGATACCGTGTCCTCCTTCAGTACCATTCGCTATACTTCCAGTATATACTCACAGTTCCCCTCCCCCGGTACGACCACGGCCGGCAATGTTCCTCCTGTACCGGCTGTTCCAGCAAACTTCAAGAAATCGGCTCATCAAAGGCTCATCAGCCTGGAGCTGGGTGGCAGAACTCCCGATGAGTCCGATGGCGGCACCCCATGCACACTATTCGAAGAAGATGGAACTCCAAGCCCACACAAACAAGCCAAGGGAAAGCTGTCAACACTGACCCCTGATAGTGCTGCTTCCAAGTCTCGTGGCTGGTGGGATCATCATGTTGTCACTCCTTTTATGGAGAACCGACTGACATTCACTACCAGCCCCAAAGTGTACACTGACTCGCCCAGAAGCATTCGAGGGGATGAATGGTGGAACAAGCAGGAGACGAAAAGCCCACACGGAGAGTATCTTACACCGAAGTTGATTCCTGGTTCATTTCAAACACCAATCGTCAAAGCACCGACACCACGCCGGACACCATCGCCTCGTGTCGAGCATACACAGGAAAGCGAGTCTGGCCCCTCCACTGCAAGAGCATCTCCAGTTCCTGAAACTACTGTTATCTCAGAGAAACCCCGGATTTTTGTAACAGAGGATGAAAGTGCTGGTGAACAGCTGCCTGCATACTCACCTCCTGAGAAGGCGGGCGAGACTGCTCCGATCAAATACAGAGCTGTCTTCCCACCGGGACATCCACTCCGAGAGCAGTTCCCGCCGTCTCCAGTTCCAGCTCCAGCATCTCCGGGTCCTATTTCTCCTGGCCTTTCATCTACTATGTCCTCACAGAGGGCCGATCAGATGACTGACATCCCACTCACGCCCGCCCCTCGAGACAGCTTGCGTCTCTCACAGATGCCACTTCCAACGCGTCCACTTGGTACGGCCCCTCGTGAGCACTCACATGGAGATGCTGAGTTTGTGACCAAAGCGGAGCGTCAAAGACGTCGCAACGAGAAAGAAGAGTCTGTTGCTCGCCGCCTAGGTGGTTTCTGGAGAGGCAGGGGATGCATCCCAAAGCGAGGCTGCTTTGGTCGAACTGGACGCGAAGGCCGCCAACGCCGTCGAGTATGGATGATCGTCTTGGGAATCCTTCTTGTCATCATTATCCTGGCGATCACACTGGGCGTAGTTCTGACACGACCCAAGCACTCTGAAGAAGCGCCATCGATTTGGGTCAACCTGACTGACTTTCCCCCTATGCCAACAGGGGATCTGTCAATTGTTGGACCGGACAATGTCATGGAGAGAAGTAGCTGCACTGATCCTTCCACTATGTGGAGTTGCTCCTTACCCAAGGAACAGCATGACTCCGTGAAGCCTTACAAACCCAATCAGCCCACCATTATGATGCAGATCCAGTGGGATAATAGCACCCAGGAGAATTGGAACACTCCCAATGGAGATGCACCTTCTGTAAAGTCGCGTCGAGGTATGGGAAGCGTTGCATATGCAAGAGACATCATTCGAGCACGACAGACACCCGAGTTCAAGCCTCGTCCTGATCCACCGAAATTCAAGGAGATGTGGTTTCTGGGAAACACGACAGACGGTATTGAATCGGACGAGAAAGCAGGCGAGGCAACTCCCTTCTACATCAGTCTGATAGATCCTGCTGAGGAGGACGCGCGTAAAGATCTTACCAAGAGACAAAATGCGGTGGATTTGAACGTCAGCCTCCCCGACATCCTTCCATCACCAGATCTCACAGAAGATGGTGCCCCCAAGCCTGCTGCACTACTCCCACGGCCGGTCCAACAGCCAGTGCGGCTCTACGATCGCGGTCTTGCAACGGAGCACTATGGCTTTTACACCTATTTCAAGCGGACCATCTTTCTCAAGTCCAAAACGGTTCTCAATGACACCAGAGATGGTGATATCCCGCTGGACAAGGATGGCGGTTGCCGGGAGACAGAGGCTGATTACATCGCGACTTGGGCTGAAACACGTCTACTCGTTCAAATCTGGACACGCAAACTGGCCACCAACACATCGAAACTAATTGATTATAAGGAGACGGGCAGCAACGGCGGTTCGACGGAGCTCATTCGACCAGGAACGATGCCATATCCCGTGAGTGTCACCATGGACACACACGGAGGAGACCCAGAAAAGAAGTTTGTCTGGGCTTGGCCTATCGATGACAGGCAAAAGGTTGACGTGGAGAACCCCAAGCTGCTGGTCAACAACATTGGAGCTGGGGGTGAGTGGATCAACAAGAGATCTCGAGGAGATGAGAAGTTTGGCGGATTCGACGGCGGGACCGGAGGATGCCAGTGCCAGTGGGTGAACTGGGTATGAAGAGTTTATTATTTCTAATCTGATTAATGACGAGATGCATGCAGCATCGCATATGGAAGCATTGGAAGCGGCGTCTTGGAACACACTGGCCAAAAGGCATGATGATTTACTAGCTATCAAAATTGAAAAGTTTTTAAACAATATGATTCGTCTCAGTGATTTATACTTGTAATGTATCTGCATCAAACTTCACCTAGACCAGCAACATGTATACATAAAATATATTTGGTGAGAGCTTCGATCATCTAAACGGGAGAGTGGGGCCGCCTCTACTAAATTTCAACTTCACCTCATTTGATGGATTGTATATGATCATTCAACTTGCACAAACCCGCATAAATGCGTCCTCTATCACTATGCAGCCACAGGAGAACCCTCCTCAGGTGTATTTCACCACGTAGTCGCCATCTCACAACGCTCGCCATTGAAACATCATGTGATGATACAGGCGTTGCTGTCCTTCGCCATACACCAAAATCCACAGAACTTCTCTTCAACGAGCGCATATCCTCGGACAACCGCGCTTTCAGAGGAATACATCCCCTTGTAGCAGCGAAGGGTCACAGTGCAGCTTTAGCACCGCTCGTTCACCGTGCTTTGGATGCTCTACCGGCGGCAGAAGATGGAGAGGATAAGAGGATCTGCTACGCTAGTGGCGTAAGAAAACAGATCCCAGACTTTGTCTCTGTTACTCGTGGACCTGGAATGCGTTCGAATTTGGGAATTGGATTGGATATGGCAAAGGGACTGGCTGTTGCTTGGGGCGTACCGTTGGTGGGCGTTCATCACATGCAGGCCCATGCTCTTACTCCACGACTGGCGAGAGCTTTGGGAATGAGCATGGGAGAAGAAGAAGAGTCTAAAGAAGGACCAGGGTTTCCATTTCTCTCTCTTCTGGTATCAGGGGGCCATACTCAGCTCGTTCACTCGACAGGTCTCACGGAACACTCTATTCTCGCGACGAGCGGCGATATTGCCATTGGAAACCTTCTGGACCAGACAGCTCGTGATATCTTACCTCCAGAGATATTTGATGCGAGCGAGCATGTCATGTACGGTCGTCTCCTAGAAGCCTTTGCTTTCCCACCCAACACCGACACAACTTCCGCCTACAAAGCTGTCTTTACACCACCAGCTTCTCGTTCCGCAGAGATGAACCCCCCAGCCACAGGCTATGACTGGAATATCCCTACGCCGTTTCGACAAACTCGCAAGCTCGCATTCTCCTTTAGCAGCATCTATACGCACGTGCACGAACTTGCAACGTCACGCCCTTCCATGTCCATCCCTGAACGCCGTGCGCTGGCACAACATACTATGATGGCAGCTTTCACACACCTCGCAGGACGATTATGTATCGCTCTCGATGACAAGCCTGAGCTACGAACTGCCAAAACCCTCGTGGTGGCAGGTGGCGTTGCAAGCAATAAGTTCCTCATGCACGTTCTACGGTCCATGTTGGCCGTCAGAGGCTACGACAAAATGCAGATTGTTGCGCCGCCTGTGGAGTTGTGTACCGACAACGCGGCCATGATAGCCTGGACGGGTATGGAAATGTTTCAGGCTGGCTACGAGTCTGAACTGAACATCACGGGGATTGGAAAGTGGCCCATGGACCCTGAGATTGGGGAGGGGATATTGGGCGTTGATGGTTGGGTGAAGAGAGACTGAACGATTAACGATTGAACATTTCGAGCATATCTGTACTATTAATATGTGATGCGGTGTTTGGATTGGAAACTTTGGAGAACGCCGTTGACATTTTTTTCTTCTCTTCTTTACAAGAATATCATCACCAAGTCTTGAGGTTCAGGGGTCTTGTCTTCAAGAGAAAAAGCCATTGTTGTACATATTACACGGATCGAATGGAGCTTCATATACCCCCTCTATCATCCACGCTATGTCTGTCTGTGTGCTTTAATCGTCAGGCGAACATCTTCATTTCCAGTACTAATCCCTCTAAACCAACTCGCTTGTCACGTTGGTGAACTCGCCCTTGTCCAGTTTGGTCTTCCAGAAGATGGGGTTGGTGTCGTTAAAGCCGTGCTTCACCCAGCCCTCCTCCTTGACGTGGTACAGGTTGATGTAACCACCAGAGTAAGCATCTCGGTGAGTGGCGGCCAGAATACTTCGCTTTCCAAGCTCAAGAGCCTCCTCATCCGACAGGTCGTACTTGTACTCGGCGTCGAGCACACCGTAGGCGAATGTCTGACCAGATCCAACACAGAAGAGGTTTCCTGCTAGGCGAGTGCCATCGCTGTCGACGTAGTAAAGAGCGGGACCCTCCTCCTTGGTAACACCGGCACACATGGTACCCATACTGAGGCCCATGCCCTTGTAGCTGTAGACGAGGTTGGTGAGGATCTTGCTAGCGGCGGCAACGCTGATGCGGCGCTTGTGTCGGAGCTCGTGGAGGCGGCACTGCATGCCGAGCCAAGCAAGCCAGTACTGACAGTCTGCAGCACCACCAGCCATGGTTCCTAGCAGAACGCTGTTGATCTCGATAACCTTCTTGACGGTTTGAGAGGCGATCCAGTTTCCGGCGGTGGCTCGGGAGTCGGTCGCGACGATGATACCGCCCTGGAAGCGGAAGGCGAGAGTGGTGGTTCCGTGGGCGATCTTGATAGGGCAGTTGGGGTTGGATCGGTCATCTGTGGCAGCGCGGAGCCATGACGAGGGCTGCAAGCAAGAGATTGTTAGTTGGACGGCGATGGACGAGAGCAGAGCTGTGGTGTAGATAGCTCCATGTTTTAATAACCAACCTGGGCAACGGGAGGCATGGCAAACTTGATGGAGAGATCTCCCATAGAGTTCAGCAGCTCATCCTGGTCGTCAAGAGGCTCGTTCTGCTCGTACGACGGCCGGCTGTATTTCGAGACAAGAGAGTCCATATTGACTTTATCGTAGAAGTAATCGTGAGTTTGTCAACTTGTAATGATCGGCCCTGGAGCTTGTGCCTCGGATCCAGAGCTTTCGGTGACTTGAAGAAGGCGAAAGGAAGCCTTGATGAAGTCGATAAACGTCGAGACTATCGATCCGTGATTGATTCGTTATATCGTGATAAGGATTGGCGTTGTGGATGTCGGAAGGTGGATGATGGTCTGTTAAGGTGGAAGTGGGAATGCGTAGCTCTAGACAAGGAAGCTGAGGCTCAGGCAGCTTCCATTGCGCGCGTCAACTGATGGAATGGCGGGAGACTGCAATTGAGGTACGTACCTCCCTAACATGCCCAGTGACGCTGTCCGTCTCTACGTTTAGTGGGGTAGCCTTGTGCTGCAAATATTGCCTCGAATTTTAGGCATTAAGTGTTCAACACCAAAGAATATCATATACAAGAGCTCTAGGAGCTCAGAAAAGCCGTCAAACAGCACAATTAATTTCAAATATTTAATTTATTCATTGATCGCTTCTTAGGTTCCGTGCCAAGTTCTCCAGTTCCATTCCCTCACATCCAATTTACGCCCAAGAAAACCGACAAACTAAGGATATCGCACTCTCATAACTACCACCCTTTTCGCTTGATTAACCCTCTTCCCTTCCTCGGTTCGTGGAAGAACCTATGACCCCAGTCTTCAATGTCAACTCAGATATTACCCAGATTTTCATTCGAACCAAGACAAAGGAAAAGAAACGTCAAGTATAACGAGGATCAATCTCGAGACTCACGTGAAAGAAAACTGCCCCTTTCAAGAGTCCGCAAACTCTTTCAGTTTAAGGATTCGGTGTCACCTCCCGGCTAGGTCGACCATCCCGCTTACTCATGAAGCTTCGGCGCATGTGAGCTTTAGGACTGTCTGGGACTAGGTTTGATTCAGTGGCTTGAAAGCTGCTCTTGAGTGTCACTGTTCCGCTGCCCACAGACAGCTCCTTAGCAACCGAGGAGCCTGACTCGTCAACAAAGTAGATGTGCTCGCCTAGGTCATCATCGCTGCTAAACGTGTGTTGACCCTTGGCCTCAATCTTAAACTGTGCGTCAGGTGAACATGGGAACTTGAACGTCTCTCCAAATGTCCACTGTCCACTGTTGGACTTGAAGTGCTTGGTCTTGCCCACTGTCTTCTCTCTGGGGTTGATCTGCGTGATTATGACGTACAGATCAGACGCAGGAGGGAAGCCTGATGCTTCGACCACGGTAAAAGAAGCTGTACCGCTCGGAGGGGCTCCTGGATTGGCGCTGTGAGTCGACGACTGGCCGATACTCTTCGACCGAATATGGCCATTGCTGGTAGGAGGACGGCTGCCATTCGAGCTGCCTTCTTCGTTTATAGCTGGTGATCGACGTAGCCCACCATTGGCGCCATCGTTGCCATTAGGACTTAGTGCTTGGGACTCAAAAACTTCATTATCCTCTTCGATGATGTCGCTATTGTCCTTCTTGCTGAAGATACCGCGGCGGAGGAACGAGGCTCCCCTGCCAACGCCGTGGCCAACAACTCCCGCCACAGCGGCACCGCCCTTGATGGGCGCACCAGCAACACCGGTGACGATACGTCCGGGAGCTGACGCAAACGTACCGCCGAAGGTGGATGTGCCCTGACGCGCTCGCTGGACATAGCTGGGTCGGAACAAGAGTCGGATGCGCACGCTTCCTGACTTGCCATCGAGGATATACTTAGTCTCTGACGGCCTGAAAGGATCCAGGGACTCGAGATTGATATCGGCACCACCTAAGAAGTCAGGCTTGTCCGCAAAGTCATAGTCCCACACAGTCAACTTGAACTGTGCAGCAGTCCTTGAAGGAACATTGACCTCAAAGTATTCGTTCCATGTGGGGCTCAATGTCTTCTTCACCACCTTAGTCTTGTGAATCTCCTGGCCGTTAAGCTCAAATTTGCAGTAAGGATCACTCTTGCCATTGCGATCGGCTGAAGGAAGATCGACAGCATCAAGAACATCAACACGAAGTGTTCCCATGTTGTTAATACTTTCGCTTGGGTCAAGCTGCATCTTGACTGGGATATACTTCAAGCTGACCTTGACACTTGCGGGGCGCCCATCCTCGCCCTTGAGCTTCAGAATTGTCGGGTTGTTCTGCTTAGATGTTAGTTATCATAACCTGTATCGTGACCTTTTGATTGAATCTTACCAAGCATTGCTTGAGCGTTTCCAAGGTGTTGCCGGCGAGCGACGCTAGGAGGTCGTCGTCGTCGTCACCCTTCTTGCGAGCCCGAAGAGTAAGTCGAGAAAAGTCGAGTTCGCGGATGAAACAGTCTCCAATTTCTTCGAATTTGTGATGTTTGTTGCGAGCAGTTGAAGAGATATAGGATGGGTACGCCATATCATCCACGAGAACCTCCAAGTGGCTGTGGCTGTCGGGCATTTCTGCCTCCATGAGTCGGAAGATGAGCAAACCACTTTCGTACTTGAGAAGCTCTTCGGGGGTGAGTCTGATTTTGCGCGGACCCTTGGGCATGTCGATTGAGGGGCGACCAGCTGTTGTAGGTGTAGGGGGTTCCAAGTGATTCTCCTTGGGTTTATCCAAACTGGCGCTGAACTTGCCGGCCTCGCTAGATCTCTGCACAGGAGACGGTTCCTCTCCAGAGGAAGAATCTTTATCATTCTCAGCTTCTCCCTCTTTCTCCTTCTCTTCCTCCTCCTCATCCTCGGGATCAGCGACATTGAGGCAAGGGTAAAAGGCAACCGTGTAATGTAGAACTCCCTTGGCGATACCTTTGCCGTGCAGACGGAGGCCGTCCTCGCGTAGCTGTTTCCTGTCATTGACCAAATACTCGCCAGTTTCGTCCTGAGCAACATAGTCGGCGGCGAAGAGCTCAACCAGTCCCAGACTTCTGTCTTTTCCAACCTTTTCCGTATCCATGACTTCCAAAGCAAGCCTGTCGCGAGCAGAGTGAATGGGCACGTAGAGAACTTCGTCCCACTCGGGGTTGAGATCGTTCCGGAAAGTGACAGTTCGTGCCTTTTCGATACCAGAGAGTAGGATTCGAGTGTAAGGATCCGACTTGCCGAATGCCTCGAAATTTCGAAGATCAGTAGCTTTCTTGAAATGAAGACGCAGAACACCAATAGGGGTCACGTAGCCACCAGTGCTCGCTACACCGGAGATAGAAACGGGCCTCCACTGTGCCATCATTTTAACACGACCCGTTTGTGCACCGTGCAGGTTGTACCACTCCTTGCCTTGCTCCATGCACTCGAGCATTTCGTCGAGCTTAATCTGGTATTTTCCAACAACTTGGTCGCCGGCAAGATCACGGTCGTCCTTGACTGTGAGACCAAGCTTGGCCTTCTTTCGGTCTGTAATGAGGATCTCTTTGGAACCATTGTCCCAGATGGGGTTGTTGGTACGTTTCAGCTTCTTGGTTTGGTGCACTTCCTTGCCGTTCAAAAACATGACAGCGTAAGGGTTGAGAGATCCTACAAGACTCTTGGTACCGTCCAGATCCTTGGCTTGCTCCACGGTAAATCGGAGAATACCCTGGTTGGACGGAGGAGGTGGCTCGTCTTGTCCTTCGGCGTTTTTGACGGTCTCAAGCACGGGGAAGAAACGAATGTCGCAGGAAACAACACCGCGAGCCTTGCCATCGGAGATGACCTCCAATCGCTGGTTCTCGTGGACATTGAGCTCTTCGATACTCTCAAGTGGAAATGAAGCAACACCCAGTTCCTTCGACTTTCGAAAGTCGTTGTGGTCAAAGATTTGCATGTCCAAAGTGTCGTTGAAAGACGTGACAATGATGTAGTGTGTCTCGTTCCATCTGGGGTTGGGGTTGTCGTGTACGACCTTTGTTCGGGCCAGCTCTTGACGACGATTCAAACTCAAAGATGCGTAAGGATCAACAGTGTTGCCGAAGTTGTCACTATTCTTCAAGCCCTGCGCACCATGAAGAGTCACCGCAATGACACCAATAGCCTGATCGACAGGAGAACCAGCCAGCATCTTGGCGACCTCAATTGGAAATACCTTGGGCGCATACATCATCGGAGCCAAGTTGCCGTGGATTTGCTCTTGGATAAATCCCTCCAGACCAGGAATGAAATTGATGTCGAAGCCGAAGTTGTCACCACCCAAGGGTTTGCAGACATAGTCGATGGTCGGTCGTTCCAGGAAGCACATCTCAATACGGTCGATATGAGGGAAAGGGATTTGCAGCTTGATCTTCAGTCGCATGATGCCAGAGAAGGCCATATCCTCGACAATAACGTCAAGTCCCTTGCTGATCATGGCCTTGCCGATTCGAATTTCGAGCACAACTTTGGGGTTGATCTTGCTTTTGAGCTGGCGGGAAGTCATGTCGTCAGTGTCGTTGGGAGTGAAACTGAATTTCCAGTCCATCATGACAATGTCATCCTCCGTCTTGGGATACGTCTTGACATGCTCCATGCGGGGGGGCTTGGTACCCAATGTGAAAGTCTTGAGCTTCAGACTGTCCAAGAATGAAGGGGTAGCAGAACTCAGGACTTGATCGACAGAGTTGATAATGGTCTGGGCAAGGACTGGCTGGTAGATGGGCCAGAACTTGACCATGAAGGAGTTAATCCACTCGAGAGATTCGTTGTCGTTTTCCAGCCTCTTCAGAGCCATCTCGCGAGAGATGTCGTCTCGGAAGTTGCGTCGCACTCTTCGTAGCGATGTGCGGTAGTAAGTAGAACAGAAGGCCATAACGATGATGACCCAGCCCAGTCCGCCGCCAAAGACAGCGACAAGCCAGGAAGTAACACATGCGAATATGATTACACCGGTATTATGATACCAATCTGGCTGTGTCAGTAATTCTCGTGCGCTTATTTCTGGCATGGGTACACCTACCACCATACAAAGTATCCGGAAGCTGCGACTCTACCCAAGTTTCGTGATCAAGCAGACTCTCCTGCGCAGTCGCATCGTCCTCGGGCCATCCCAGTCGCGGAGCCCATCCTGTTCTTGAGTATGGTACTTCGTCGCCTTCAGGATCGACACCGTCTGCAAGTGGTTTTCCTTGTTCATCGCGAGCAACGTCCAAGACTCCGTCCTTGCTGGGTTCTGGTAGATCTTCGTCAGGACCGGTGCCGTCGTCGACGTCGGTGATGATAGCAGCGCCCTTGGGCCGTCTGCTGTGTTGAAGCTCGGGAGGGATGGCCTGCGCAAGAGTGACGTTAGTTTGAAGTCGGGAACAGAAAGAAGGAGGGGCATACAGCTTTGGCTTGAGCTTTCTTCTGTTCTGGGCTGGCATCTGGGTCGAAGGTGAAAGCCGCCACACCAGCATTTCGAGACGCCTGGACAATGGTTCTTTGAGCGTCATCCGCAGTGACGTTGGTTTCGGGATTCGCAGCAGCTTCGACAACGCCCTGCTGCTTGAGCTCCTCGGCTTCTCTAGCGGTTGACATGGTGTTGTTTCGAGCAGCGTTGCTGCGGTTGCCGCTGGAACGTGTTACTATGGATAGTTTGTATTATTCGCAGTCGTCAATTGGCGCAATTTGAATTCAAAGAACCGTCGCGAAGCATTCAGGTAACGAAATCGATTCTAAACGACCCTCGTGAGGTCAGTGGTCGACCAAGGTGGTACGTGCAAGGTTGCGATGTCCTGGTAGCTTGTATTTAGTAGCTTATGGATAGCTTGCAGCTTGTACATAAGCTGAGCTAGGTTGGCCTTTGGTCGTTTACGTGCCAAGCTGGCGGCACCAGCAGATGGGAGGTAGTGAGAGGTTAATTAGAAGAGGAAAGGAAATAGAGAAGAAAGAGAATGAAGGAGGGGGTAAATAGAAAAGAGGGTGAAGAAGGATGTAGCCAAGCCAAAGGGATTGGGATGGGAGAGGAAACCTGGCACAAGCAAGTTGACAGAGACAAGACATGGAGGACCCAAGTCAGGTCAGGTCAGGTCTAGGTCCGGATATTGTGCTATAAGTTACTAAGGTTGGTGCAACCTACCTGCAGCTGCACCCAAGGAACGAACACCTTGGTAGCTGGAGACCTTATTCCAAGCTTGAAGTGACTTGGCTTGCGCTGAATATTGATCGACGACGCACAGGACGCGGATAAAAGAGTACGTGTTGGATACTTTTATGAACACAGCTTCATGTCGCTTAGAGCTGGTAGCTTTCAAGTCACTTTCGCTAGTGGGAGGGAGCTAATTTGTGGCTCAGCAAGGGAAATTGAAGCCCATCCGATCATTATCAGGATGGACCTGGGACCTGAATAGGTCCATATCGGTACAAACTTTAAGACAGTGATCGGATCAGCCTATAAGTTAGGTAAGTACCTTACAGTGGAGGTACCTATAGTACTGCCCTCCACTGAGGAAAAAAGAAGTTGCAATTGCGGGCCGAGAAAGCGCGGCAGAGTGGATCGCCTATCACTGTAAGTTATACGATAAACAATCAGTGAATGGAGGAATGGTATTTGGCCTCAGTAAATAACTGGGGAGTGAGCGACAATCTGAAACATTCGGCTCCTTGGACTCTATTTAATTCTTGCACTTGCTTGCTTGTGCTGTGTCACCGACACTCCCTGCTATTCAGCTCTGGTATATTGTACTGTAGGTACATAACGTGGCAGTTGGTTCAGTATGGGTGAGCTGACCAGTCTACCCAGATACATGAAGTCTTACTACCGCTTAATACCAAGGAATTGGAAAAGAGACATTTATTTGCAGCAATCAAGTCACACCATACCGACAAGTTAAATTCCCTCTCTTTCCGCTGTCAAGCATCTTACCGGTAACATATAGAGAGAGCTCCCTGCCTACTGTGGCTAGACTGACTACTACCTTACCTAGAAGAAGTCCGACCCCTGCAGCGCTGAGCAACAAAGCACGACCTACGTAATCGATGAAAGGGTAACCGTGTCGGGTCCGGGGGAGCCCAGAACTCGGTTTTGTTTTGCTTGTGAATGTGACGGAACTGCTACTCCCTAGCTTCCTCAGGGCGGCAGGGGTCAGGGAACTGGGCCTGGATCCAAGGCTTCCAAGATCGAGGAAAGGCGTCTCTTTTTAGTTTAGATTCAGAGAACCCCTGTTCCCTTGATCGCTGGCACCGCTGAGGTTACGTAGCTCGCAAGAATAGACTTCTCAGCCTGTGTGGTCCCCTCTCTCCTGTCGTGATAACTTCCCTTTTGTTACAGTACAATGAAATGTGACAGGATGAAACTCTTTACTGGTACAGCTTTGAGGCTCTGGGGATCTTCTGTAGTTTTGCCCATTCAATCTTGTGTACAATCTCGTCTGTCTGTACCTGTCGAACAGTACCTTAGTATCTATTGCCCATGTTCCACGGCTTATCACTTTGCATTTCTAGCCCGCCTTCCCTTTTCTCCATCAGCTGCATCTCCATTTTGAATGCACAGCCACACTAGTTGACCTGAACACTAAATGCGGACCACCTAAGCCAAGCCATGGAACCCTCATGGAAATGAAAATGCCGTGCTTTCTCTACTATCCACCTTCTTATTGGGTCGACTAGGTGCCTGATAAGTCATCTTACACATTTTTCCTGGTTGCACAAGTAACCAATTCACAAGTTGAAAAGAGAAAGTCATCACGTTTGTGCTTATATGAAACATCAACGAATTACGGATGTATTGATGTCTGGAAAATGGAGGTTTGGAGGTTCAAAAATCCATTCGCAGTCCGGTGAAAAACGGCCCTATAATATTCCTTCTCTCTAAACTTACAGCAACAACAAATCACAAATGCATCATGAATCATCTCGCCCAGTCGCAGAATCTGTGCGGATACCTCTGAAGATATCTAGCCTTGCCGATCTTCCAAGTCTTTTCTGTATTCACATAAAATCATTCTCTGTCGATGGCTTCCTAATATATCCTTTCGCTGTGAATAAACATGGAAGTGCCATCAATATTTTCTCATCCGTGAGCCAACATGATACGGCTGTGGCTCTCGGCCAAACGCCGACCACTACCGGTAAACGACGACGATTTTTGTCATGGACAGAGTACTTTTACTGACAAGTATATCAGACCCGTTTAGTTCTTGCACTCGAGACTCTTCGATATTTTACAGAGTGTCGTCAACTACTACTTCCGTCGACTAGTAACAAGTCTGCTTTCGTGCCCTCATCACAACAACTAAAGATTGCGAAACTTTGCGCTGACCAGAATGTCGTGGTATCGGCAAGGCCTGGATCTGGTAAAACAGCCACGATAGAAGCCATTGCGGCTGCTCATCCTGACAAAAAGATTGGCAGCGTTCTCTTCTCCAAGAGACTTCAAAGTGAAACCTCCAGTCGTCTGAAAAAATATCACAACAGTCATGTCTTCACTTTTCACGCCATGGCCGGAAAGCTTTTGAAAAGAGTCGTGCCAAGTGACCGGGAACTCATCAGACTATTGCGAAAGGTTGACCGTGACGGCAAACTTCCTGTGTGGTCTTCTACGCCCTTTGACATCATTGTCCTGGATGAGTTTCAGGACTGTAATCCAGAGACTTTTTGGCTAGTTGCGTGCTTTCTTCGATCCAACAACATCGCAAAAGAAGGACAGCCTGCACGCATTGTTGTACTTGGCGACGAACGTCAATCTATATATCGTTTTCGGAATGCTGATCCTCGATATTTGACTCTGGCTCCTGAACTGCTAGGCCCCATGAGTCCCTACCCTTTTGCCGAGGTTCAGCTCGGGAAGAGCTTCCGATTGCCCATGCCGACAGTGGATTTCATAAATCATGCTTGGCTGGGCGGAGAGCAATATATCTCGAGCTCAAAGCGTGGCCCAAAGCCCATTGTCCTAAGATGCAACCTTTGGGAAAGTCGTGCAATAGCTGAAAGGCTGTCCCATCTGATTAAACGTTATGGACCACAAAATTCCGTCATCATAGCACCTTCAATCCGCACAAAAGGCCCGTTACAAGGCCTGACAAATATGCTGGCTGAGGTATATGGCATTCCTATATCTGTGCCTACCGACGACGATGCGCCTCTTGATGATCAAGTGATCCATGGAAAGATGTGTATATCCACCATTCACCAGTTCAAAGGCCGCGAGCGTGAATTGGTAATACTCCTCGGTATGGACTCTACTTACTTCGAGTTCTTAGGTCGCGATCAGCCCGATGATACGTGTCCGAATGAAGCTTTCGTGGCTCTGACACGCGCTTTGAGCCAGCTTGTTGTGCTTCATCAAGACGAGAATAGCATGATGTCTTGTATGTCCGTCGATGCTCTGTATAACACAGCTGAAGTCCTGAATATGATAGGCAGCAAAACAGAAATTATTCCACAACCTGGCCCGCCTGGTCGACCTCTGGAACTTGGACTCCTCCTCCCACTATCCGTCGGTGTCCGTGACATGACTCGTTATATACAGGGAGACGCTCTTGATAGAATAGTCAAGCGTTGTCTGCATGTTAAACGGGCTTCGTCACGTCTACTAGGCCGTGAGCGTATCAACATACAAAATGTGGTTGCCTCGGACACGCAAAAGGGATTCTTCGAATCTGTAAGCGACATAAATGGCCTTGCCATTGCCGCTTCCCTGGAGCTTGAAACTTTAGGTACCTTGAAGTCGCTAGATGTCGACCAGAAGGAGGTCAACAAAAATATGCCTATCGTTCCCCAACAATTGGCTCCTTGGCTTTGCCGTCACGCTTGCAGGTATGAGGCTAAGCTATCCGGCTATCTACCACGCGTGATACAAATGGAACATCACAAGTTTGATTGGATCAGGCATCAAGACCTTGAGCTTGCTAGACGTCGACTTGGCAACGAGTTGGCAGATCCTGCTACAAGCCTGGAGTTTGAGGTTGAAATGTCGGAAAGATTTCACGTTGACAAGGAGTCAACCACTCTGTATGGCCGAGCAGATATTGTTGCATCTTGCCCCGTCGAGAACAAAGACGCGAGCGACAAAACAATATGGGAAATCAAGTTTGTGTCACAGCTAACCAACGAGCATATCGTTCAGGCTTGTGTATATGCATACTTGTTCGGTTCGAAATCTGGAGAATTGCCGCGTATTGTATTATACAACGTACGAGATGGAGACAAGCGCGAGATCACACCAAGACACGGACGGCCTAGCCTGAGAAAGCTGGTTACAGATGTTCTTACACTACGGTACACGGCTGGAGGTGAGGTTTCATACGAGGAGTTTATCAAGCGTTGCACAGAGACAACACAGAAAGTGATGGACTTGGGTGGTAGTAAAGACGAGGAATGATTACGACATCAATTTACGATCTAGACGTTTGGGAGCGATTTGACGCTTGCTGTGTGTGCCATGAACATTATGTTGGATCATATAAATTCAGACAAAGGTCTTGCCCTTAGTGGACGGTTTTGGAGCAGGAAAATCTTCTCGCGATAAGAGCATCAACGAGATATGGTCATAGGACACAATTGTTTTGGAAAATCAATATGTGTCTAGGAGGCAAATGAGCGATCTTGATATTCGAAGGTACTCTACTTTGGAGTTGAGTGACATCTTATTTATGGATACTTAGACACAGTAAAAAGACAAACAACCCTGACATCCTTCCAAACTGACTTCTCTCGGGCCAGGTCTGGGTCATGTCATGTAGTTAGACAAGGACAAGGATTCTACCGGGACCACCGATGCATGCAACCTCAGGCGGCGGTGATAACAAGAAACACAACTCCAAAACAAGATATTCAAAAGCTTATTCGTTTTATTTATACCATAACGAGGGTGTTGTTGTTCTCGTTCCATAATGAAACTCAATCATCCTTTCTGTATTGGCTATCAAAAGATTCGTTTCCAACTCCCAATTCCTGACTCTTGCAACGAATGAAAGGCACAGTGGCTCAACTCTAAACAGCATGAGAAACGCTGACATCAACCAAGCCCAAGATCCATTACGCCGGTTCCCATATGCAATAAATCCCTTCATCGACCCATGATCTTTAAACCATCAAACACTTGCTTGATTCTAATATCCAAAGCCATCATGCTGGTGAACAGGGCATCTTCCTGGATGTTTGACGAACCATGATGAGATGCACGCTCGGTGAAAGCGACACAAACACTCCAAACGTGCCATAGGAACCCCAACTGTAAACTCCTCTAGACAAATAGTACACTCCGCGTCGTCGATGCAGTCCTTCTCTGTAGCTACGTACGTATACATGCCTGTCCGACGAGGGGCAACCGGTGCTCCACCTTCCCCGCCGCGGGGTGTACCATACGTGCTGTGCGTCTGAATGCATGTAGTAATGTGAGACTCGCGAAGAGCTTCAGCGTTGGGAAGACTCTGAGATGGTAATTCGCGATGGCAAATGGGACATTCGTCTTCCTCGGCAATCTGAGGAGTCGGTGGCAGTGCACGCTGCCTCGACGATGACTCTCCTAGTGAGCTATATCGCTCTGGGTATGACGATGGAGAAGCCGCCTGGGCACTTGATAGGAAACGCTCGATAGGTGTCTGATGTGCCCCGCTACGTCTTCTATGAGAGGGACCTGGAGAGGAACCAGATGAGGCAGAGCCCTGGATTTAACTGTTAGTAGCAGATACGAACAACGGGGGTAAAGGCCAAATACCATTGTGACGCTCCTCATTCTTGGAGAGAGATATCGATATGGGTCGCCGGTAGTACCCGGAGCAAATACTGCGCCATGTCTATTCGAAGGCTGCAATGTCCCATAAGCATCGCCAATACTACTTCGCGATCTTTGGTGAGGAGCTCGTGGGGAAAGAGTAGCCTGTGGCCCAGGGCTCTGAGGTGGCGCGGTATTCGGGTCTGGGACACATGGATTACAAAGCCTCACTCGTTCGCCTCCCGACATATCATTCACGTCGAAGTATCCGGCTCCAAGTCCGTCGACAAGCAGGGACTGATGCATGGCTTCAGAACCTGGTGGTCGAACAATATACTGGTGCGGAATTATGATCCTGTGCGGCGAGCAGGAGTTGCAAACAACTCTTCCGCATTTCCTAGTACAGTAAGTACACTAACAAGAGACTCTTGGATCGTTCGACTTACCTGCAATGATGCTTGCGCACAAAGAAGCTAAATTGAGTATGGCAGATGGGACAATATGTCACCTCATTATCTGGTTGCCATCTAGGCCGTTGTGAGTCTGAAGATACCGACTGTCGCGCAGACCGGGGAAGAGGAGGCAGAGCTTCTTCCAGAGGTCGAAGCGATGGCAAAGGCGCATCCATCCTTTCGCGGGACGGGGTAGCATATGTCCGTTGCGTTGTTTGCGTATTTGTCGCGCTTGTACTTTGGCTGGATCTGTGCCTATGCTCTGAATGCTCGGAAGGAGGGTTTGGAATTTCATGTTGCTCAGACCGCCTGTTCTGCGAGCTGCTCTCCATTTCGTTGATCTCTATATTCTGCCGGATATTCTGCTGGGCATTTGAACCATGTTCTGGCTGCTGAGCAACTACAGTACCTGTATCTTCTGCGTTCGTCGAGGGGTCGCTCGTGGCGGATGTGGCGTCTCTATCGTCGTCCGTATCGTCGGCAGGGGTAGTTTGAGGGTCCTCTATGTCATTTTCTACTTGCGCAAGCTCTTGTTCTGTAAAATGAGATGTCGGTTCGTCGGCCAGCCCTTGGTCGTTATCGGGGCGAGATATCTCGGGCGAGTGGGAGCTATGGATGGATTCTTGATCTGCCTCGCCGGTCTCTGATAGACTCCGCTCTATGGTATGAGATGGACAGTCGAAATATCGCGAGCATTCTTGGTGGTAGAATCGAGATGTTCGCCATTGGCAAATCGCTTCTTCGTCGGTGTTCTGGTCCAGATTATTCTGATCGTGCTCGCTTTGACTGTCGTCGCTGTTTATCGAACGTGGGCTCTGGGTGTTGCTTGACATGGGAGCGCTGAAGTCTCTTGCAAGTTCAGAGCCAAGATGGCCTGAAGCTCCCGAAGGGCTGGTCATAGTAGCTCATCAGGACTTGGCTGTTGTAAAAGGAGTAGTTGTGCAGCTGCGCGGCTTCTTTAAGGCAACATGGATTGTCGTGTATGATTGCGGGTTCCTCGTTTGGGAAGATCGAAGGTGCAGGAAAAGGAAGGATTCGAAGGGTCAGATGCGGAGTTTGATGGTAGGTTGCAGTCTAGACTAGTTTATTTTGTGTGTCTGCAAATGCGATTAGAAAACGGTTGGTTGGTTAAAGATTGACTCGCTCGCATGATGCATGATAGCCAGGATAGGTATTGAGGGAAGATGCAAGCAGTAGGTAATGTACCTAGTAGGTATGAATAGAGAGGACTGTAAGAGCCTCTGAGTGGCGAAGCAGATGATTAAGGGTCGTATGGTAAATGGAAGGATTTCTTGTAGATGATGTTGAGTCAAGCGGAAATAATACAATAATAATCGAGTCGTGAAATGATATGGATGGAAGCTTGACTGTTCCGAGTTGAGTTTGGGCTTTGGAGAACCTTCAAGGGCCCTGGGCTTGGGGGGGGCTTGACTGGGCTGGGACAAGTGTTTGAGGGTAGTAATAGCAGTAGCAGGAGGTACCCGACCTAGCCTAGACTGAGGGGCTGCCCGAAGTCTTGAAGACAACCTTAAAGTGGAGGCGCTACTTATTCGCCCACGCGATCAACGATCATGGAACCCTTGCTGATACAGTATCACCCTTCCACATCAACACCTCTAACTAAACCTCACTTGGTCATACCCACGCTAAAGAGTTGCTTATCATGTGGACACTTTAATATTGATAGCGATCTGGACCCTTTATCGACGCTTGGTCAGTGTTAATCAATTCAATCTCTTTTCTCGACCAGGTATTTAGTATCATACATACTGTAATTACCCAGAAAGACCCCCCTTTTCTCTGCTGTTATACTACCCTGTATCTTCTAGGTAGAAGCTCTCACTTCATCACCCAATCTACCTGGCAACTCTTCTCCAAGCTTAACTCCATTCACTGTCACTGGCTTGCTCGCCTGAAGAATAAACACCATCCGAGCCCACTTCACTGTATCAACATTAACCCATTGATGGACTGTCCCACGCTGAATTACTACATCCCCTTGCTTCATCAAGCGACTCTTCCCCGAGTCTAGCACCAGTTTCATTTCACCTTCAAGCACGATGCCGTAGTCTATACTAAATGTTCGATGCATGTCACCTTCGCCTGGTGGAAAGTCGACGAAACGAAGGACTGATCCTCCAGGGAGAGCAAGTCCTGTTGGAGTTTTGATGTAACTCTGATAGTCTTGATATCCATTTCACTTGTGAAGTCAACTGGAAAACCTTGAGTGACGTAGCCAAGATGAAAGATGTAACTGGTGAGGTTCGTCGTGGGCATTTTGTCGCTGAGTTGAGTGTCAAATATGGCTTTGCCATCGTGGTTGTGTTCAGTGATGAACCGCCTTAAGCTGGGTAACTGTTGATCCGCCATAATTGGGCAGAAGAAGGAAGATATATATGCCCAAGATAAGAGAAAACGATTCGAGTGTATGGATAAGTTCTTCATCATGGGCAAGAGTTACAGTCTCATCAATGAATGTCATTGTCATATGAGAACTGGGAGGCTCATTTTATAGTGATAACTCGAGTATGCAAGTCCGATACACAATCTTGGAAACCACCATATACTGCATATACGATGATTGATTTACCAGATGACGTCCTTGTGTTTGTGCTGATCATTGATCTCGTGTGCCGACTCGAAGGTTTAATGCATATGTTGTGATTCACTCGGGTTCCGTCTAAACAACACAGAACTTAAAACCCCAATCATTACACAAATACGGTCCTAAGGCTTACACTACCATAACAAAGGAGCCTGAATGCTAATCTCAACTAATATAAAGTGAGCAAATTATATCGTCTTCTATCCTTTTGAGGGCCAATTCTTCACATACCCTGAGGCTGTGTTCCTTAACAGATTATACTTGCATCTTCCAGGTTACGCTTAACATGTCATTACTTTCGGCATTCCGCGTTGCTTGCATGAACTTGGGTTGTTTCGGTGCGCCGACCAACGTACATGATGCACCGAGTGCTACTTGGTTGCTTGAGCATCGACACCAGCGTCATGGGAAACCAGCGTCCACCCAGGGAAGAACCCCCAGTGCATCTCTCTATCGTATGTACGAATACTTGGTCGTAGGGTATACTGTTGGTCTTCGCTCCGAGATTGAATACTTCTTCAACCAGCCAAATTGGTCTGTAAAGTCAATACCGGACCCAGAAGATGCAGACGCAGCCCGCTACGCGATCCTCGCAGTTCTCACTCACTATCTCGTCAAGGCCTTCAATCGACTCATAGAAAGGGGACTGCCACGAGGATGCCCCGCGATTATCGATGCAGACACAGAGGCAAAACTCCGTTCCCAGGAGGTAGTTTTTGAACAACAGCCATCTTGGGTAAAGTTTGTGCGTCGTCTGGACCAGCCGTTTACAATACCAAATGCATCTGGAGAGACACCAGTGGACAATGCCCTAAGTGTTGAATTCCTGGCAATGAACATTATCATTGTTGAACCTCACGTTGCGTTCGTTTAAGAGCGACTTCGCTCGTCTAACCCAAAACAATGGGAGAATGCAGAGAAAAAGACGCTACTGTACGCATTACGTGGACTGATAAATGAGGTATTCGCGTCTTGTCTGAGGCTATTCTATTTTACGCCAATAGCACCGAACCTGTTTGTTGACACTGAAGTATCATGTAGTTAGCATGCGGCGTGTTCTCGTCATCGCAATATTAAACAACTGTCTTGGCACGGCTGAGTCGGCTGTCGAAGCTGAGGCGGGGGGTTTCAGATGGAGGTTGATGGGGGTTATCTTACGAAGCTTGTTGTCACATCCCGATGGGATCAGATAATTCAAGATTAAAGCCAAGAGATTCTTCGATTCAGTAGACAGAAAAGAGAAGAGGGCGACGTACGCAGTTGCGAAGAGACGTAATAGTTTCATGACGGATCCTTCCCAGTATGGAGTTGAGTACGTATGCCTTCAGCCTTTTAGTTCAACATTAGCTCCTAGCGGGCTAGCAATAGCTTCATCTTAGGGCGGGAAATTCCATCTCTCAATACTGCAACCCTTGCTTCTTCTGTGCGTTTGCTGACGACGACATCGGACAATGAGTGAAAAACCCTTGGTATCACCTCAAAAGCTTTGACTTGTCTAAAACTGACAAGACGAATCGGCTCCGATTTTCAAGCCGGAGCCTGACCAAAAAAGGGAATAGGCTGAGCTGAAGATGTGACATTCCAGGCAAGATTCTCCTGTTATTACTCGACCCGTCACTGCAATCCCTGTACTAGACTTGACACTTATTACTTGTACAGCCAATCATTTATTTCAAGCTTCAAACTGCCCTCCTGTTGATGATAATCTATTACCCGCGATGTTATCCCCGCTGTAATACCCGGACATTCACTAATTTGTTTAACTACAGCCCTACAGCGAGCGACTGCCGGTTATCTTTCATCTAAGCTTATCCTTCTGCGACAACTTTCTTTCTACTTTCGTTTCTTTAATTGCTTAGTCAATGCCATAATCACTACCTATCTATTATTTTCAGGCTCGTGGTTGACCCAAACGAGTTGCGCCATGGCTGGTCCTTTACCCTCGTCCTCGGATTTCTCTCACAACATCGATCCTTCCCAATCAGACTCAACCCCAGGATATAACGTCACTTCCCAATCATATCCACCTCCACCTCCTCCTGCACTTTCAACTTCTTCCGCGGAAGCCGCGAGCATCACAACTCCAGCTCCCACTACTGAAAAGGGCCCTCAACTATACGTCTGTGGCCATTGCGGACGACGCTATTCAAGACCAGAGCACCTTCAACGACATGTCCAAACTCACACTTTAGGCCGTCGCTTTGCATGTGGAATCTGTGGAAAGACATTTGCGCGTGCTGATCTGAAGAAACGCCATGAGGCAAACCACGAGAATGATGATTCAAAGAAGAGAAGACGTACTACTACTGCTCTCAACTCTGGAAGAGTCACTCATGCTTGTAAAGCTTGTGCCGCTGCGAGAGTGAAATGTCAAGAGGAAAAGCCTTGCCAAAGATGTACTCGCCGTGGGTTGACCTGTGTCTCGTCTGATGCCGGATCTGCAGCAGCCATGAACCTAGTACATTTATCTGCCAGCGCGCGATCTAACACGCCTGCCGAAGAAGAGTACGATAGCGGTTCAGCTACTGGCACTGTCCCGACATATGTTTCTGTTGATCAATCATCTTTACATGGCCAAGCCGCCCAGCTACAGTCACAGCCTCTATCCAGATCAGTTACTCCCAATACCAGCGACTTCACCAAACACGAGCCTAGTTCGTCTGCTCAACCCGAAGCGGACCAGCTTCCATTTTGTGACTTTCTACGAGACGTCTTGTACGAGCAGCAGCCTTACGATCAACCAACTAGGATGCCAGACAGCCAGGGCCTCGCCGTTCTAGACTTCTGCAATGACACCAACATGGAACTCTCCGACATGGACTTTGGGCTGTTGGATCACTGGAACACAGATGGAATGGGAGCAACTAGTGCGATACCAGCTCAGCAGGAGACTCCCAAGTCAGATACCTCTACCGACATGGCGCATATGCATATGCGACAAAACCTCGTTACAGCCTGGGACGTCTCACCATGGCGATGGGATCCGGTAGCAAAGGATAATGCGTTCGGTGAACAAGGCAACCTTCCCGTATCGAAAAATGAGGTTGCATCCATACAAGCCCAGACTTCTAAGGGGGGTCTCAGACGGGTTATTGACCAGAAGCTTGACTTTGCTGCTCGTGATGGTGTCTTAGCACTCGTTCTAGGCGCTTGTCAACCCGATGCCATGTCGAGCCGTATTTCAGGGTCTTTTCCCTCGGCAGATCTTCTGGATACCATGCTACATGTCTTTCTCAACTCACATACCAATCAAGTATCTGACTACATACACTTTCCCACTTTCAAGCTCAATGAGCAAGAGCCCGAGTGGATTGCTGGAGCTGCAGCAGCCGGCGCCGTACTAACTCCTATACCGACATTACGGAAATTTGGTTATGCTCTCCAAGAATCTGTTCGTATTGTTATACCCAGACGAGTATGTAGCTACAAGAAAACTTCAATGAATGACTTATCTGACTGCCGCAGTTTGAAGAAAACAACGAATCAATCCTAAATTTAGGTCTAATCCAAGCTATCGTCCTTGGTCAAGACACTGGTTTATGGAGTGGGAATCGACGCAAGATGGAGATCGCAGAATGTCATGTCAACATTCCCACCACGGTACGAAAACACTTCGATGGTATTTAGCTGTTCAACTAACGAGATCCAGATGATGCGGTATCGTGGCAAGTTCCAACGTTCGACATACCCTATGCTTTCAGTGACTGCCGCCGATGAGGGTGCCAATCTGGAGCAGAAATGGAGAACATGGGTTGACATGGAGAAATGGAAACGGTAAGCAATCGCATCAGAAAGGTTCATGACTTCTCACAGCCACTGACTGTGTGACAGATTTGTCTTCCATTTATTCCTTCGAGATAGCCAGCAGTCAATGACAGCCTTGACAAATCCAGTCATGTCATATGCAGAGCTTACGCTTCCTCTGCCTGCCTCGAAAGAGCTATGGTACGCCAAAACAGCCAAGGATTGGAAACACGCATATTTGAGACGAGAAGCTGGGCACGTAAAACGGGCTCCCTCAGTTGGCGATCTGGTCCGCGACCTGAATCTCCTTGCAGAGAATCGACATCGATTGGATGTTCAACTTTCAGCAGCCGTCTATCTCCAGGCCTTCTGGCTCCTAATTCTTGAGTATAGAAACTTGTGCTCCTCGTGCAGGACACGATCCTATACCCAAGATGAGTATGGCGGCACCAATTCGCTACTAGATGCACGCCGGCATCAGCTTTTGCAAGACTTGCAGACGTTCAAGACTACAACCATGAACTGGCCGGAGATAACAGCACAGGAACGACTCCTACTCAACCAACTCATGATGGGGTTGCATATATCCATGGATGACCTACAGCTTTTTGCTGGTAAGGAGGGGGACGAGCAGGCGCACCGAGCATTCCCGGTACTTCAACAATGGGTTGAGAGCATCGATTCTCGAGCAGCTATATGGCACGCTGGGCAAGTTCTCCGATTCGCCAAACTATTTCCTACGGCGCAGTTGAAGAACTTTTACGCTGTCGGGGTGCACCATGCAGCACTCGCCATCTGGACATACGGCGTTATTAAGAGGGCTGGCAATGGACAAGGTGTGTCTTCTCAGCAGGAGAAAATTTACATAGACGGACCAGAATCGATGAGCATACAGAGGTACATCACTCTGGGACAGGGGGTTCCAACTATTCGAGGACCCAATAGCCGCAACGGGGCGTCTGAAGCGGCGATTGAGAACCCCAAGGCAGGTATGGAAGCTATCCATGAGGTTATGCAGGCGAACTTTGGGGGTGCCAATAAGATGGCGCCGGCAATTGTGGAAAATCTGTGCGTCTTGATACGGCAGCTTGGCAACGTTGCTTGGGCAGTCGGGCTGGGATGATTGGATATGTAAAGGGTATATTGTTAATAGATACATAAGCATCGACTTATCTAGAATGACTTTTGTTGAATAATGAACTAGGATCGACGCTTTCATAAAAGTAGATATCATCTTCAATATACCCTGCTATACTATAAAACAAGTCTTTGCCTTGAATTCAAAATTCTGTAAAAACATGTACTGGATAAAGTTGCAACGATAATACATTCTTACTGGGTACTGTAAGTGTTCCAAATTTAATTACGTAGTTTATCAACGCCGTTAGCTCCGGTCCGGATCGGGACGGGAACTAAATAAACGAGAGGTTGAAAGCGGTGGTGACGTTATTACTCCCGACTTACCTCCATCTCTGCATCCATCACTGTACCTGTCGATCATGGCTATGTTCTATTGACAACTCAATTTTACCACCCCTACAATCAGAAAGTAGTGGCTTCTATGCTGATAGGCCTCTTCTGTTTCGTATATTCGTTGTGGCTGCGTGATTGACTCAAGCCCGATACACAATCAAGCGTGGCTGAACGAGCGTTGGCCAATCCTCTCGCCCACGTTTTCAACTTTCAGCTCTCTTCATTACATTAAACTTCCTGCAACGATGTCATCGCAAGATACCTCCGCAGCCCTCGTGGCGACGACAACGGTTATCTCAACCGTCGTCTTTCTCGTCGTTGCTCGTGCTCTTCTCTATCCCGTTCAGCCAAAGACGATTCGTAACCCGCTCAAGTTGGGCGTTTATGATAAACCTAATGCTGATAAGGTGAAGAATCTCGTGTATCAACGTGATCAGTTCCCTGGTGCTCGAGATGTTGAGACCCCAGTGAGTAAAATGCCTGCTTGTGAAGATTATCAGAACTGTGCTGACCTTGTCATAGTATGGAAGTATCCGCGTCTATGAATTCGGCCCCGAGGATGGAGAGAAGGTCTTTTTTGTCCATGGCATTAGTACACCGTGCATTACCCTCGCTCCCATAGCCCTCGCACTCTCCAAGGGCGGCTACCGTGTGATGCTTTTTGTATGTCTAGAACCACTTACTCTGCTTTCATCTGTTGACATGTCCAGGATCTTTTTGGCCGTGGCTTCTCAGATGGTGTCGCTGATATCCCCCACGATGCTCGTCTCTACGTCTCTCAGATGCTTCTCGTTCTAGCATCCAGCCCCCTGGCTTGGACTGGCACGAATGCGTTCCGGCTTGTGGGCTATTCTCTCGGCGGCGGTATCGCCATTCACTTCGCAAATGCTTTTCCACATCTAGTGCGTGATCTTGTTCTCCTCGCTCCTGCAGGACTCATCCGTGCCGCCTCCTTTGGCCGTGTCTCCCGCTTTCTTTTCGTCTCTGGGCTCGTCCCTGAGCGTCTTCTGGCTATAGCAACACGTCGTCGCCTTCAGAGACCTATCGCTGCCTCGGCAAGGCCATCTCCTGCGGCACCCGTCGAGTCCGTCACCACACCACCGCTCAACGTCGTCGAGGCAGAAGTGACTCCAGCCTCAGGCAAAGCCGTCACGCCATTGGAACAACGCGTTATGGAGTACGTGCGATGGATGGTTACAAACCACCATGGCTTCGTCCCAGCCTTCATGTCGAGCATTCGGTTTGCGCCTCTCATGGATCAGCATGAGGCATGGGCCAAATTGGCTAAACGAGCACCTGGTACCACAGCTATTCTGTTGGCTAGGACTGATGAGATTATCAACCCAGATGATTATCGTCGCGATGCATTGTCTCTTATTGGTGGCGAACAGCATGTGCGCTGGCGTGTTCTGCCAGGTAGCCACGATTTTGTCATGACTCACCCTCAAGACATTCTAAGAGAGATTCAAGACATGTGGAGGGCTTGAATGAGTGCCTATAATGTCCTTGGTTTTATGATAAGGAGGAGTAACGGGTACTATGGAGTTCACGAACAACGATAGCGAGCAGAGAGTTGTGCTGTTACGAGTCCTGATATCCTACATGTCTATTAGATTTGGAGGGTAGATCTAGAATAGAGAGTCGTTATGTAAAGAAGTCCATATCCATTTTCTATATATAAACCACACCAAGGCCAATATATCCTCTTGCATCCCTTCAACGATTGCCACTTCTAACGGTCCAAAGCTTGACTTTGACACTGTGAAGGTTGTTAGCAGTTTGACATCTGTAGTGATCTACAGAGGGTAGGCACTTACCATATGCCAATAGACGCCCCGTTTTCTCAATAACTCTACGTGGCTGCCTTGTTCTAGTAGCTGTCCGTCTCCTAGCACGAAAATGACATCGGCATTCTGAACAGTCGCAAGTCTATGTGCAACAACAAGCATTGTCCGTCCCTCACTAGCTCTTTCGAACGCGGCCTGAACCAATTTTTCGCTTTCCGAATCAAGGGAACTCGTTGCTTCGTCAAGTAGAAGAACTTTGGGATCGCGGATAAGAGCACGAGCAATTGCCACACGCTGCTTCTGGCCACCTGAAAGTGACACACCACGAGAGCCAACGTTTGTGTTTAACCCATCCGGGAGAGAGACTATGAAGTCGTGGATTGAAGCATCACGACAAGCTTGGTGCAGCTGCTCATCTGTGATGGACGTAGGATCGACACCAAGCAGGATGTTTTCTCTGAGAGTACCTTGAAAAAGGGTGGCTTCCTGAGCAACAAGAGAAAAGTACTTTCGGTATTCATACAAGTTGATGTCAGTGGAATCCTTTCCATTTAGCAGGATTCGACCCTTGTCTAGATCATAGAACCTGTTCCAGTTAGCATTGACCCCCACGAAATGTTCTAGTCTATTCTGTCTCTTACCTCTCCATCAGTGATATGATGGATGTTTTACCGCATCCAGATGCGCCAACAAGAGCTGCGAACTGCCCCTTTTCAATCTTGAGGCTCAGTCCTTTAAACACAGGCGTGCTTCTAGTTGGGTACTTGAAGTAGATATTATCCAACTCGATTGACATCCCACCGTCGGTATCTGGGATTTCTTGCGAGGTTGACACCTTATCCTGAGGTCTGCTCTCTCTCATCTTGAGGATACGATCAGCGGCTGCTGAGCTAAGGGCAGCATTAGGACCGAAACCGAGAGCCTGGCCAGCTGCTTCACTGCCGTTGGTGATCGCCACTGTAAAATTGTTAGCAAGAGTAATAGGCTTAGAGGCATTAAGGGACGTTGGTCGTAGACGGCAGGGGCATAGCATGCATGTCTGCAATAGGTAACAAAGAATCCCTAAAGGACAGGTGATGAAGACGAATACTTACTAAAACAGACAAAGAATGCAACGAGCCCAATCTCGTATCTGGAAAGTAGGCGACCTCCCCACCAAAAGTTGAGAGCTTGACAAGCCATGCTGGCGCTATCAGAGAAGCCGAAGAGTATGCTCACCCATCTGGCCTTCTTGTATGCTGAAACAACATGTTCATCGAGTAGGTTCTGGTATCGCAAGCAGATCGAGTCTTCCAGTGTCAAAGAAGTGACGGTCCTGAAGGCCCCAATTGACTCTGACGCGAACTTTGAACTTTCCGCGAAGACGTCGTTGTTCATCTTTTCAAAGGCCAGTTCATATTTGAAACGCCAGTAAGCCGACATAATCATGACAGGCAATACAACGCAACAAGAAACTACTGCGAGCTTCCAGGTGTGTGCGAAGGCGATTGCGACAGCCCCTGTGACGTTGAAGAGGGCAACAAAGACACTAGCCATGTTCAATCCCATCATCTCTTCCAGCTGCTTTGGGTCGGTCCCCAACCTGGACGTCATTGTCCCATGAGAATGATCTTCATGGTCAAAAAAGGATGTCTTCTGGAACATGACAGCGTCAAAGTACTGCTGTTGATATTTGGCTCGCACGGTTGCTGACATGCGGGTTGCCACAAAAATCACCACAAAGTAACTGACTCCCACCCCTACTGCCAGGACAACAAACATCAGGGCCCAGAAATTGCTTTCTGAACGATCCGAATCAGTCCCTATATAGTTAAAGGAGACAATGATCTTGCCAAAGATCCAGGCCTGTAATGGTACACCCGAACCAACGCAGGCAGCAGCGAAGAGGGTTAGAGCAAAAGCTGGATATATGTTTTTACTCTCCAGGAACAACCGACTGAAGCTGGTGAAAGGGCTTCCTTTTTTTCCTTTGACAACCTCTGCATTCATTTCAACCTCTGAAGCTGCAACGCTCTGGACATTGGCAAGAGTTGGCTTATCCTCGTATTCAACAGACTCATATCCAGCCTCAGTGGGTTCTCCTAGTGACAGCGCTTGGGCGTGAACAAGACCAGAGTAGACGCCACCATCAACAGTGATGAGACTATCGTGTGTTCCTGATTCCACGACCTTGCCTTTCTTCAAAACAATGATACGATCAGCCTTCTTGATCGTTGATAATCGATGAGCGATGGTGATCGTAGTCCGGTTCTTGGCGACTCTGTCAAGTGCTGCTTGAACAATACGTTCACCCCGTACGTCAATAGCACTTGTAGCCTCATCCAAGATCAGGATGCTTGGCTTTCGTACAATAGATCGAGCAATCGCGAGGCGCTGTCTCTGGCCGCCAGAGAGTTTAGCTCCACTATCACCGACGATAGAATGATATTTGTCGGGTAACCTGTCAATGAATTCATCGGCAAAGGCCTCTCGACATGCCTCCCTCACCAACTCCCTCTTCTTATCTTCGGACTCATCTTCCCATGGCGTTCCAATCAATCCAAATGCAACGTTGTTATAAATCGTGTCGTTGAAAAGAAACGGCTCTTGCTGCACGAGTCCAATTTGAGATCTCCACCACTTAAGCTCGATGTCATCCAAGAGCTGACCCGATGTGGTGACGCGTCCGCGAACCTCAATAGGAGGACCCCTTTCTTCAGATTCTGTTTCGGTCGGGTTGGCCAAATCGTCATCTTCTTCGCTCTCGGCCTTCTTGTTCTTCTTTCCCCCCGTTTTCTCCTTCTCGATAACTTTGGCCAAAACGTGCTGATCCTGTAGAGTATACCATCTCTGAATCAAACCGACAATTGTACTCTTGCCAGATCCAGATGGTCCAACCACAGCATTAATCTTTCCGGCTTCGAGGCGTAGGTCAAGGTCATCTAATACTTTCACATGAGGTCGGCTGGGATATGCGAATGTAACCCCTTCAAAAACGATGTCCTGTGTCGACGACACTTCAGGTTCTTTCAAATGCCCCTTTGGTGGTTGAGGCGCATCAATGACGACAAAGAATTCACAAGCTGCAACGGTAGCTTTTCCGACAGCAAGAAGCGGCGTCGATGTGCGCTCCAGTGAAAGTACGACAATCATCACAGAAAGTAACACACTAGATTTATGAGCAGAAGATAACTCAGTAGATGGATGGACTTACACAAGGACGTCTCCAACATTATCCAATCTACCTTCCGAGTATGACTTTGCGCCATACCAAAAGCAAAGGGCGAACCCAGCATATAGGCCAAAAAACTGATTATGTCAATAGATGTAGGATATCTCCTTAGCGAGGATAACTCACCACAAAACCAAGTTGGCCTCCGATAAGAGGAGAGAGGAGCTTGCCATGTTGCCTCGTCTCTTCCACAAAAGCAGCGTATTTCTTGGAAATGCGTGATTCTGCGCCACAAGCTGCTACCATTCTGACACTCGCCAGCGCTTCACTGGCGACTGCACCAGCTCTGCCTTCGGCCTAAGTTATAGTCAGTATATAGTCATGAGTTACTAGAGGGGTTCCAACCTTGGTGAGGAGGGCATTGACTTTGAGTATCATGGGCAGAAATGTGCCAAGAACGAGGAAAAGATACAAGATGATCGAAGATGTGACCAGAGTAAGGGACCAATTCTTTACAAATGCTACAATGAGCGCAGCCACGATAGTTGAGTTGTATTCGACAAAGATTCCCAGCTTCTCGGATATGCCCAGCTGCAGGACGTTGGCAGTAGAAGTAATAGTGCCAGTGGCATATCCTGGGGGCATTGAATCAAGGACATGAATAGATTGACCGAAGAGCGATTGTAGGTAGTGAAGTCTGATAGCTGAAGACAACCTGATACCTATCATGCGAAAAACGAACTTATTAATAGCGTTAAGGACAAATCGCCCTAGGAACAAGAAGAACATATACAGCGCCAACTTATCAATGCTGCTATTGAATTCATTTTGAGAAGTTGTGCTCCCGGGCAAAAAGTAGTCAGTGAAGTTGCCCACGAATTGACCTGTCTAGTATTAGCTTCAGTTCACGTTTAGTTGCGGACAGTCGTACCAAAGACCACATTCATTAACGGCAGGGTCTAGGATGATTCTATTGTCAGGTAAACTCATTGCGTGTGTTTTCGAGACGCTTACAATTCCAGCACCAATGCTGGCGAAGAACCCTGCAGCATATGCAACGAAATCCCATTTTGTTGCGTAGGAGAAGATTCGCTGTGGATGTTATCAGATACATTGCATTTGTTGATGGCAATAAATAGTGCTCACCATGTAATCTTTGAAATTGGCTGTTCTTTCAGGCCGTGTCTTTGCTGCTGCTTGTGATTCTTCTTCTTTGGCGTTTTGTGTTGATTCATCTGGAGGGTTGGATGAAGGAGAGCCACTAGGCTTCTCAGTGACAGGCTCATGATCCGTAGCCATGATATGGAAGAGGCGTGAGCTCCCTTAGTAGGCGGCTCGAATAGAGGAGATATATTTAATCAAGATAGAAAGGAGGGACCAATACCGTTACTGAGTAACACCTTGAGAAAAGACATTCATTGGAAAATGGTAGTTGAAATAGTAAAGGAAAGAGACGAAAAAGAAATGTGTCGATGATAAAATGGATGATTGTGAAAGATGCTCTCAATGCCTTTAGGCTGTTGTTAACTGAGTCCCATAGAAGGAAGGGAAGGAACATACAGGCTACCTAATTAGCGATAGGTACCTAGGCAAGGCAGGAAGGCCCCTTTGTCCCTGTAACCGAATAGAGAGGTTCGATACGAAATACGACGGGACGCTAGCAAGCACCTTATTAGAGTTATAAAACGGTGATTTGCACCACGACAGGGGCTTTAATGAGAAAGCGATCGAGGAGGCTGAGAGAGGAAGAAACAGACAGGAGACAGGACTCAATGTTTTATCACCGAATCCTTGTTATATTACCTGGTCGATTCTCTTGGCCTAGGCCTCGTTGCAGTTAGTCAGTTAGGAATTGCGACGAAACGCGTACGCGGATAAAAGGGTAGTGCGCTGGAATAAGCTTAATGAGCCGCTGAATGGGACGATCGAAATTGATATTCATATCCATAGAGGACTAGGCAGATGTCACGAGTTCAGATTCATCAGCCTAAGGCTTTGGCATGGATATATTATACTGTAAACACGCCGTCATGGACTTGGTATACTGGCCTTTTCTGCCCATCAACCAATGATGCCCTGTTAATTTCATCGCTAGTCTTGGTTCCCTAATTTCCGTCATGGTACGGCGAAGTAAGATGTCGGGCTCGGATCGAATCTAGAATCCGAGCTGATTGTCATCGACTTACGGAGTACGGAGTGCCAGATTAATCACGTCCACTACATTGGATTCCTCGCATTATCATGGGACAAAAACAACCCTAAATGAATCTTGAACGAATCAGCACAAGAATGTTGTGCAGATGAGTCAAACATCGCAAGGTGATGATTTCAGCCCCGAACTATGCGAGGTCCTACAAGCTGTTCCTCACCCACTGTAGTAGGTACCTAGTTAGCATCTGAAGGAGTGGTGATGTACAAAGAAAACTAAGGTTTTGATATACCATGTGTATTTTGAGATATACCGTTAGTTTTCAAAGCGGTACTTAATCTAGACAATATATTTAACTACGAATATACTTTGTCCAGTCTTATTTACATACCCTATAGAAAGTAGTTTATTCAAGTAACTAGCTGTCAATACAGATAGTCCTATTCCTCTCCATGTGCTATATAATGTGTTCCATACCCAGCAAGATATTTGCTTGAGTAAACCGATAGACAGTAATTAGTACGGTGTACTGGTTCATTGCTTCTGTACTTTATCTGTTATGTTAGAGTCTTCCTTCATTACAATTTACAGGCCACAGCACAGGGAGAAAGGATAAGCTATTCTGCTCATTATGAGAGCAAATATCCTGGGAGTAATTCTCATAGCAACTTGGAAACTTGCAATTAGATAGTCTACCCGTCATATAAATTGGATGCTTACTCAATAGACGAGACCAACTGTTCATATCCATGGTGGGCTGTTGAGCATTCATGATCGGCTCGGCTCATTCAGGCCAGCTACAGCGTATTCAATACCGTATGATGTCCCACTAAGAGTTCTAACAAGGTCTCTGGTTGGTCAGGTTTCCTGTCCCAGTTCCCTCAGGCACTACAGAAATTTCTGTGTGAAACCCAATTCGACCTGTGCTGCTTCCAAATTGTGACCGGTGAGTGTGACTGTGACGCATACCCAAGGTACCTTAGTAGTCTATCCCACCGACGCCGCTCGCATGACGGGCATTTTGGAGTGGATTCCAAAGTTTCAACCCGATTCAAGGGACTGACTCACTTCCATTCTCCCACCAAAAGGTAGAGAGGTATGAAGCCAAGGACAGCCTCAGCCAAGCTATATTTGGCCAGGTCAATATCAAGGACTACAGCAAGACCATTGCTATTTGCGCCTGCCTCCCAGTGTCTTGCTCTTACCCGCGATCGTCCTTCCCTCATTAACACTGGCCCCTCCATCACAGGCTTTTCCCTGCCCCGCTACACTTCCTCTTCTACTTCTACTTCTACTTCCTTCCCCTCCACCACAACTGCCCCGCCTCCCACGACATCACAACAAACACTCGAAATGGCGCCCAAGAACAAATTCGAGCTCAAGACCCCCAAGGGCACAAAGGACTGTAAGTAAATACTGTCTAATAATACTCGAATTATAGAATCTTGGTCCTGACGTCCGTCAAAGGGGAGGGAAAGGACATGGTCATTCGTGACCACATCTTCAACACCATCACCGAAGTCTTCAAGCGCCACGGCGGAGTCACAATCGATACCCCCGTCTTCGAGCTCCGAGAGATCCTCGCTGGAAAGTATGGAGAGGATAGCAAGCTCATCTACGATCTCGCCGACCAAGGTGGTGAGATCTGCTCTTTGCGATATGATTTGACCGTGCCCTTCGCCCGCTTCCTCGCCATGAACAAGCAAATCCAAAACATCAAGCGCTACCACATTGCCAAGGTCTACCGCCGAGATCAGCCCGCCATGACCAAGGGCCGTATGCGAGAATTCTACCAGTGTGATTTCGACATTGCTGGCACCTACGACCCTATGCTGCCCGACGCCGAAGTTATCCGTATCGTCACAGAAGTATTCGAGGGTCTTGGCTGGAACGACGGATACACGATAAAGCTCAACCACAGGAAGATCCTCGATGGTATCTTCCAGGTCTGCGGTGTGCCTGAAGACAAGATTCGCACCATCTCCTCGGCTGTCGACAAGCTCGACAAACTGCCCTGGGCTGATGTGCGCAAGGAAATGACCGAGGATAAGGGACTTGATGGCGAGGTTGCTGACCGAATCGGAGAGTGGGTGGTTCTCAAGGGCAAGCAAGATCTGCTCCAGAAGCTGCAGAGCACTGAGAGCCTGGCAGCCAATGCATCCATGAAGCAGGGTATGGATGATCTTGCTCTGCTCTTCGAATACCTCGAGGCTTTCGACTGTCTGGATCGAGTATCCTTCGACCTCAGCCTGGCTCGAGGTCTCGATTACTACACTGGACTCATCTACGAGGTTGTTACTCAGGGTTCCGCCCCTGAAGTTACCCCTGGTCAGGACAACGCGGACTCCAAGCCCGCCAAGAAGAAGGGCAAGAAGGGTGGTGAGGACGAGGACCGTTCTGATGATCCTACTGTTGGCGTTGGAAGTGTGGCTGCTGGAGGTCGCTATGATAATCTCGTCGGCATGTTCTCTGGAAAGAGTCAAATTCCTTGTGTTGGTATCTCTTTCGGTGTCGACAGAATCTTCTCCATCACGAAGGCTAAGCTGGCCGCTGAGAAGAGCGCTGCTGTTCGCAGCAACGATGTCGACGTCTATGTCATGGGTTTCGGAAAGGGATTTCTGAAGGAGCGCATGTCAGTGTGTACCAAGCTTTGGGAAGCTGGTATCAAGGTCGGTTGAGCATCAAGCCATTGGACACCCTTAATTTACTGAACAGAATGCTGACATGTTGACAGGCTGAGTTCCTTTACAAGGTCAAGCCTAAACTAGAAAAGCAATTCAAGGCTGCTGAGGCTAATGGCGTGCCTTTTGCGATTTTCCTTGGTGATGATGAAGTCGCGTCAGGCAAGGTCAAGATCAAGGAGATGGGACTTCAGGATGGTCACCCCGAGAAGGAGGGTGTTCTTGTTGCCCTCGACGACATGGCCAAGGAAATCAAGGTTCGACTCCAGCGCAAACGGGAGCTCGATGCCATGACCACGCAGGCCGAGGGCCTTCGGGTGGTCCACGGTATCAAGGGTGAAGAAAAGAAGGAGGAGGATGCCAAGCCCGAAACAACCCCAGCAGCGGCTGAGCCGACTCCAGGATCAGAAGAGCAAAGCCCCGCCAACCCAGCGGCATAGGGTTACTTATCACGAAATAAAAGAAAGTTGACAATGGCCATGGCGTTTGAATGTCATTTGATAGAAGGATTTAATGTAAAGAGCATTTTCTCCTGTGAGAGAATGATCATATTCCTATATTCAAGCATGAATATTATTAAGCTTAGGGAAGAAGTTAATCTGCAAGACGGTGATTCTAACTGCATGTTCCGCAGTATTCTTTGTCTAGCGCAGTTACACAAGTTCCTCTTTCACAACCATGACAGCGATGACTTGTTGATCGACACGGCGGGGCCCTGAGGCCTCACGGTTTGGCGAGAGCTTGTGGCCTTCAACGATTGGGCTTTCAAGAGCGTTACTTTGAACGGGCAACAATGGAAACCACGCGAAGTCTGTGAGCGTCAAAATGGTCCTTCAGTCCCGGCCCAGATGGTGAACAGGCCGCGACCAGGCCCCCTGCTTACGGCTTTAGCCGTCGTTCTCGAGTAAAGAGGCTTGCATGGCGAAACAAAGACAAAAACAGACACAAAGACAAAGACACGCAGCGGGGAGAACAGAGAGCGGGTCTCGAGCCTCAATTGACCATCGATGCAGGTACCAAGTCGCACATATGTAGCTCACGATAGATCGATGCTCGCAACTACCAATGATTTCTGTATTAAGGCGGGCCTGCGGTTGCAACCGTCGACAGTCAAGAAACGGGCTAGGCCATCTGACAAATACGCAGGGGAGGGCGTAAGAATGGCCATCCATCTAAACCAATCTTCTGGAACCGAGGCGCTGGCGTTCTGACGTTCACGCCACAACCCCATCAGATCAGTGCAAATGCAAGTGCAGCGCTGCAGGGTGGTCTGTGTTCTACTGTCATCTGTCGCTCCTTGTTTCGTGGCTATTGGTCAATTCGTCCAAGTAGATCCCTATCCCATTGAGGCTCAACGTTCAATGTACATCGACCTCTGTGACCAAAGGAATGGTTCTGACAGTCGATTTGAACACGGTCATTATTAAATCCCAAGAAATAGGCAGAGGAAAAAAGCAAAAGTCCTGTGTCAAGATGAGAGACAGCCAACACAGCCGCCCCACAGCTAGCGGGACCGGCCCATCCACGGGAGGATCTAAACATCGCGCGGATAGGCGGCGCGGAACCTAGAATCTTAGTTTGGTTTAATGGGGGGGGGGGGC